CTTCCTCCCTGCCGTTGGACTGGTCTTGGTCTCGTTGCACCGTAACGGGTGCCTTTGCTTGATGCTCTCGCCTGCGCTTGCTCCCTTTGCACCAAAGAGGAAAGGAGGACACTGCGCGGCTGGCGCCCGCGTGGCACCCTTGGTCGTCATGGCTTGCGTCACGGGCACCTCGTGAGGTACCCCGCCTTGATCTCTCCGCCTCCTCGCGGGCCAGCCTGATGAGGCCGTGCCTGAGGAAGCTCCGTGTCATCCGCCCCGCGAGGCTTGGCCCCTCGCGAGGGTCTTGGGTCTGTGTTGATGAAGATGGGCCGCGCTAGGCCCCTCCTCGAGCCACGCCGCAGGCCGCAGGCAGGCAAGTCTAGGGACCCCCGTTCCCAGAACGCCGACACCTTCAGCCCGAGCACAAGCGGTAGTACGACTCGGGTAGCGCTCGGGTGAGCGGTACTTCCGCTTACACGGAAGTTCTAGCACTGCATTCAACTGAACAAGTCAGGGAGGCGGTAGCGCCACTGGAGCGGTACTGCCGCTTCCACCGGCGGTACCGAAGGAAATATGCCCTAGATGCAATAATAAAGTTGTTATTTATATTTCCTTATATCATGATAAATGTTTATTATTCATTCTAGAATTGTATTAACCAGAAACTTAGTACATGTGTGAATACATAGACAAATAGAGTGTCACAAGTTTGCCTATACTTGACTAGCTCATTGAATCAATGATGGTTATGTTTCCTAACCATAGACATGAGTTTTCATTTGGTTAATGGGATCACATCATTAGAGAATGATGTGATTGACTTGACCCATCCGTTAGCTTAGCACGATGATCGTTTAGTTTGTTGCTATTGTTTTCTTCATGACTTATACATGTTCCTATGACTATAAGATTATGCAACTCCCGAGTACCGGAAGAACACTTTGTGTGCTACCAAACGTCACAACATAACTGGGTGATTATAAAGGTGATGTACAGGTGTCTCCGGTGGTACTTGTTGAGTTGGCATAGATCGAGATTAGGATTTGTCACTCCAATTGTCGGAGAGGTATCTCTGGCCCCTCTCGGTAATACACATCACTATAAGCCTTGCAAGCATTGTGACTAACGATTTAGTTGCGGGATGATGCATTACGGAATGAGTAAAGAGACTTGCCGGTAACGAGATTGAACTAGGTATGGTGATACCGACGATCGGATCTCGGGCAAGTAACATACCGATGACAAAGGGAACAACGTATGTTGTTATGCGGTTTGACCGATAAAGATCTTCATAGAATATGTAGGAACCAATATGAGCATCTAGGTTCCGCTATTGGTTATTGACCGGAGACGAGTCTCGGTCATGTGTACATAGTTCTCGAACCCGTAGGGTCCGCACGCTTAAAGTTCGGTGACGATCGGTAATATGAGTTTATGTGTTTTGATGTACCGAAGGTAGTTCGGAGTCTCGGATATGATCACGGACATGACGAGGAGTCTCGAAATGGTCAAAACATAAAGATCGATATATTGGAAGCCTATATTTGGACATCGAAATAGTTCCGGGTGAAATCGGGATTTTACCGAAGTACCGGGAGGTTAACGGAACCCCCCGTAAATGTATGGGCCTTATTGGGCCATAGTGGAGAGAGAAAGAGAAGATACCAGGGCAGGACGCGCGCCCTCTCTCCCTCTAGTCCGAATTGGACTAGGAGGGGGGCGGCGCCCCCCTTTCCTTCCTCCCTCTCTCCCCCTTCCTTCTCTCCTAGTCCAACTAGGAAATGGGGGGAATCCTACTCCCGGTGGGAGTAGGACTCCTCCTGGCGCGCCCTGCTAGGGCCAGCCGACCTCCCCCCTTGCTCCTTTATATACTGGGGCAGGGGGCACCCCAAAACACACAAGTTGATCAGTTGATCTTTTAGCCGTGTGCGGTGCCCCCTCCACCATAATCCACCTCGGTCATATCGTAGTGGTGCTTAGGCGAAGCCCTGCGTCGATAGCATCATCATCATCGTCATCATGCTGTCATGCTGACGGAACTCTCCCTCGAAGCTCTGCTGGATCGGAGTTTGTGGGACGTCACCGAGCTAAACGTGTGCTGAATTTGGAGGTGCCGTACGTTCGGTACTTGGATCGGTCGGATCGTGAAGACGTACGACTACATCAACCGCGTTCTCATAATGCTTCCGCTTACGGTCTACGAGGGTACGTGGACGACACTCTCCCCTCCCGTTGCTATGCATCACCATGATCTTGCGTGTGCGTAGGAATTTTTTTGAAATTACTACGTTCCCCAACAGGTACTACCGCGTAGTGTTGAGCAACCAGTAGGAACAGCGGTAGTAGAGAAGGACGATGCGGTAGTGCCGCACATAGCGGTACTACCACTGGGTACTGCCGCTCTACTTCTGCTCGAAGGACAGAGCAGTCCGGAAGACTTAAAATAAGCGGCACTCACAGCGGTACAAGATAGCGGTAGTTTCGCCCGGCGGTACTATCGCTTCGCATGACCGGTACTTTCGCGCTACTGTTAGTAGTCCAGTAAATTTGCGATAGTGGAGTGCTAGTCAGGGCCGCAGTATCGCGGGGGAGATACTACTGCGTTGAACTACCGCCCTACTACCGCTCATTTACAAAGCACTAAAAATAGGTGGAAGTGCCAGTAGCACTGAACTGTGGCAGTACCGCTGGAGCGGTACTACCGTGGTGCAGAGCGGTACTCCCGCTTATGTGCCTTAGGAAAGCCCATGCACAAGGAAGGACAAGCTCCATTGTCGGGAAGAAAAGAGGGTACAAAAAGACTGTGTATGTGTTGATTCCACCCAAACATTTTTGAAGCGGGCCCCCTCTTAATAGTACGGTGATCCTACGACTCAAATCCACCAAAAATGAAATGTAAGAAAACAACCGTCTTCGCAATATCTCCGGGGGGTACGAATCGTATTGTGCCATATGATAGATTCTCTGAAATGCTCAATGCACATGATTAGTCCACAAAAGTATTGTCATCAATCACCAAAACCACTATGGGAGAAATATGCCCTAACACTACTTAAGCGGTGACAATCTGGTCACCTATTTACACCACCTAGTTTCCTATGAAAACAACTTGCTTGGCTTTGGATTTGATAAGTTCGAACTTGATTTAAATAAGATTGGGATAAAGAAAAGGCTTATTTATCTTGGGCTTAAACTGGTTACCCACTCATGCCTCGGTAAAGCTATTGAACAAGGTTTTGTGTGTGCGTGTGGGTGGGTGATATGGGTTGGGAGGGGGCTCCCCCCTGAATTGTTGCGTAAGCCAACTTTGTATCTCGGTAAAGCTATTGAATCGAGGTTTTGCGTGTGCATGTGGGTTGGGTGGGGGCTTCTCCCCCGTTGAAATGTTGCGTAAACTAGTCGTGTTATGGTTGCCAGCTGGTCGATCGGCGTGAATCTCGCGAGCGATCGTAAGCAAAAGTTTTGGTCCCTTTCGCCTCGAATTCTCCGTCGCCGGGGCTATATAAAGCAAGTTTCTCGCTCCATCTCCTCTACTCTTCCCTAACGAACCTCCTCTGCTCTTAGCTACACATGGAAAACTCACCATGGTTGCCTCACTCGCAAGTTGATGGTGAGGAGTGAAGTGAAGCCTTCTCTAATTTAGCGGTGATGATCCGTAACTTACTATGTTCACATGTCTAGCTTTATGTTCGTTGCAGTTCTGAAAAATACTTGCGGGTAAGGCATAGAAGACGTGGTTTATTCTTCTATATATGAAACCCTCTCTACCAACTCCGATGATTCATCGGCCAGCCGAGAGGGGGGAGGGGGTGACACTATACTTCTTCCCCTTTGGTTTACCCATACGAAAGTTCCTCTCTTCCTATATCCCTTTCTTTCGCTGCCGACAATTTTCTCCTCCGCATCCATTATCATCCAACAATACCACCGGAGGTTCGCTAGCAGATGGGTAACTTCATCTCCCCTCCCTTCCCTCCTTGATCCCAGAGAAAATAAATTTGCTCAGATCTACTCATGTCGACAATATAACAAGTTTCATTGTTAGGATTTTTCTGTCTAGATAGATGACCGGATTGAATCGCGATATTATTCGGAAGTTTTCCATATCCTATTTAAGCACTCTAGACCGAAGAAGCAGATTTTTCTTTTAGGGGAGTTGTCCAGTTAACCCGAGCCCCCAGGTGAGCTTACCCTCTTGCAGCTCTAGAGAGTCACCACACCAGATCCGCTCCACCAAAGCCGTGGCGTGAGGAGAAAGACCTGGGGAAGATGATGTAATTTCTAACTTGTTAGGGCTAACCTTTTCCAGCTGCATCGAGCTTTTGCATTGTCGTTTTGGTAACCGAAGCTTATCCCATTTTTGGCAGTTTTACCTTTGCGTGAAACCAGGCGCAGTAAGCAACAAGGCTCACATTGAACCAGCATCAGAAGAGACCAACGGTGGTTCATCTCGCCGCTGAGCTGGATGCATGCGTTCATATGCGGCCGAGATCGAGGAGCCCCTCCCATGGACGGCGTGCACCCGGCTGCTCGCCTCGCGTGCGACCGGCCTCCTTTCCACGTCCTCTGCAGCTTACCCGCAAGCCTTTTCCGGAGAGCCGCGACGAACTCGAGGCTACTGGACGTGTAGACAAGGTGGAGTTACTGGTCTTCACCGCGAGATTAGCGGAGGGGGGCTTCAGTTCGCCCCTGATCACCGAGCGCGCACCGGCAACCGGCGGGTGAGGCGAGCGATGCCGGGCCGGGCTTTCCATGTGAAGGGTGCCGTGTGTACGCCGAGCCGTGCGCCCCTGCGCTGCGTGCTCTCCCTTGCGCGCCCTGGCCTTGTCTCGTAGCCGGGGCGCGCAACAAACCTCTGTGGACGCACGCGCACGCGCGGCGTGCCAGGGCACGGAGCTGGGCCTTTATCAACCCCACCTCGCCGTGCCATTGCCATCCGCCAGCGAGCGAGCGAGAGAGAGAGAGACAGTGTGTTTGTGTGAGAGTGAGGGATCGAGCGAGGTAGTGGTGGCTAGGCGGCCATGGCTGGATTGCGTGAGATGGCGATATTCTACTCACAAGAGCGCAGCTTCTTCCACAGGCTGGTGCGCGACCTCGGGCAGGAGAAGGAGCATATGAGGTGGGTGATCGCGCTCTGGCTCTGGTTCGAGGCCGATGGGAACGACAAGTTCATGCGCCGCGCGGCCGCGCTTCCGGGCCCCGTCGTGCTGCGCTTCGTCGACGAGGCGCTGGCGTGCCTCGCCCGCCTCGCCGGCCGCGTGCTCCCCGGCGCCAGCACCCTCCTCCCCTGCACCAACGCGCTCCTCAACAAGCCCATCGACGACGTCACCTACTTCGACGAGCACCGCGACAACATCATGCCCCGCGTCAAGTTACTGTACAAGACCGTCTGCCGCGTCGTCCTCGACGACGCCTGCGCCTCCGACGACGCCGTCTTCTTTCCCAGGAGCAGCGCCGCCTCCGCGCCGCGCGCCATCGGCACTCCCGTGCTCGCCAGCGCCGTCTCCCCACCCCCCCAGACGCCAACGACGCCGAGGTTCGCCGACCTGAACGCAATAGTGACGCCGAGGTTCTCCCAGCTGAACGCGATGGCGCCGCCGTGGGCCCCGATCCGGCTGGCGCAGCCGTACCAGCCCCAGCCCCAGCCCCAGCCCCCACCCCAGCATCAGCACCAGCAGCATCAGATGATGATCATCGACCGCCTTCCAGAGGAGTTCCGCTCGCTCTTCATCACCTTCTCCCGCGGCTACCCCATCGACAAGGACGACATCAGGGACTTCTTCAACTCGTAAGCTCATCGCGCCGCCACTACTATATATCATCAGCATATCTATCTCTGGTCAATATATATACAAACGATGACCGTCATCATATATATGCGTGCATGCATGCATGCATGCATGGATGGATGGATGCAGGCTGCACGGGCGCCCGTGCGTGGAGGACGTGATGGTGGAGAGGGCGGCGCCGGGGCAGATGCCGGTGTACGGGAGGGTGGTGCTGCAGAGCGCGGACATGATCCCGGCGCTGCTCGGGGGCGAGCCGACGGCCAAGTTCATCATCAAGGGCAGGCACCTCTGGGCCAGGGTCTACGTGCCCTGCTCCAGGAACACCTTCCAAGCCTGAATGCTCGATCCGTCCATCCATGCATCCAGCTACCTGGCCTACAATTAAGCTGCATGCGTGCATGGAGCTGGAGCTTCAAGATGTGCCATGGCACAGTCAGTTACCCGGTTCATATGCTACCTACTACTACTCGATCGATTGGTCCAGAGACTATGCTCGAGAGATGAGACAACCATCGATCGATATACATATGTGTGTCCAGTTTGTGCTTTGTGCTTGTCTTAATTATATCGGATATGTGGAATAAATGTGTGTTTACTTCCGTTTGATACATGAAAGTATTTATGTTACTCTGTTATTATGCTTGTTAGGTCCACCAGGGCCTCCATAATGCCAAGCCCGTCAATGCTTCTTTTGTTTGATCAGCTGATCTCGATCAGGCCCTGGTTTGAGATAGCGGGGTTTATTTCCTGTTCCTGCCAGAATTCAACACTTCATTGCCTCTTTGGTTCAAAGGATTTTTATAGTAGGATTTTGGGAGGATTGAAAAAAAATTAGGAGTTAGTTCTAGGTTGGTCGTTTGATTAGTATGATTGAATCTATAGGGATTTCCATAGTAAATCTTAGCATCCACTCCAATCTGCTGGAAAATTTCTTTGTTTTTCTTGTGATGCAATCAAACAAACTCCAAAGTCAAATCATGTAGGATTCAATTGGGCATGACACTCTAAGGCTTCCTCTGGATATCATGAGAATAGGAAAATCATAAGAAATGAGATGACATGTATTTCAATTTCATGGAGAAAGAGATGTCATTCGATGCATAGGATAGGAATTTTGTCATTGAGTCTAGGGTAATGTTTTTTTTCCTTTGAAATGCGAAGTATTGGTTCCTATCCTACATAAGAATAGTAATCCATTTCTACAAAGTAAAGGGCTCCGAAGGAATTTTACCTTTGAAAATTATATCCTATATAACTCCCACAAAATTCCTACAGACCAAAGGAAGCCTGGTCATGTATTCTTCCTATTCCGGTGTTTTTACAATCATGCGAATGAAATAAGTCCAGGCCTTCTTTGGTTTAGAGGAATTTTGTAAGAATTCTAAAGGATAGAAATTTTGTAGGCAAAATTCCTTTGGAGCCATTTGCTTTGTAGGAATGGATTCCTGATCCTGTGTAGAATACGAATTAATCCTTCACATTTCAAAGGCCAATGGAAAAATTCCTACCATATGAATCAAGTGACATCTCTTTCTCTATAGGAATTGAGAAGTAACATCTCTTTCCCTATAGAAATTGAGATACATGTCTTCTCTTCCTATGGTTTCCTATTCCTATCATATGAACCAAACGAGTGGAATTTCCCACGATATTCCTGTGTTCCAAACAGGCCACTAGTTATGCGAATCCAACAGTTTCATGTGAAGTTCCTGCATTCCAAACAGGCCGTTGTTTACGGTTTACCAGACAGTTTGGTAGCCTCTACTTACATGGCGGCACCAAGGATGTTTCCAGTCACAGAACAGGCTCAAGCTCCCAATATAGAAACTACCCAAATCCATGTCTACATCAATAGTATCTTTCAGGGTAGTATGCCTCATAAGATCATATATACCAATTATGGAAACATTTTGTGGCATGTGAAATGGATACAGATGATCACGTCGACATCTACCGACTTATTCCTCCGTGGGCGTTTTCTCCCACATAATCCAGCACATCTAGTGTCACCGCCTACAAGCTTCAATTCACACTGCTTACAGTTTTGATGCTGCAACATAGCTCTGCTCAGAATGCCCCTCGACAAAGCTCTGCTTGGCATGTTTGCCAGATAGCCAGGGAGCGAGCGCGTCGACCAGCCTCTTGATGTCATCCGAGGAATGAGAAGCACTCAAAGTTATTCGCAGCCTGCCAAGAGATTCATGGCCAGTTAATCTTGGTCGACAGTTGAAACAGAGTCTCATTGGTGATCATCTGTACTAACATCGAGCAGGAATCCATAGATACAGAGACATGCATGCTACAACAGATCTTGCTAATTATGACATTGTGCTATATGCCCTTAATCGAAAAGTCCTAGTCCAGTTACTTGGACACAGGGTTGCAGGTTCTATATTGGTGAAGTTCATGACAAGACACTGGATTGCAAACGAAAAAACAGAAGGGAGGAGGGACCTGCATGAGTTGGGCGGCACGGTGGGTGGTCGAATTGGTGTAACATGAAATCCAGATCTTAGCATATGCCTGCAGTTCAAAGATGGAATAATTAGGAACATAAGATACCAGACTGGCACTAAATAAAATTGGAAGGAAGAGATATAACCTGCCAGCCCTCAATGCTGCTTCTTCACTTCCTACTACTATGGAAATTATGGGACTAGTTATATTGAGTTTAGTCAAGGATGCAAAATACTGCACATGCCTCCAGACCAATAATCTCCGCCATCGTTCCTTCCTCGAGACATGGAGCGCAGCTGAAATCAGAAAACAGCACGGATGTTTGAAGCAGTGTGATAGTTTCTCTTTCAGAAAAATGCAAGTTCCTGATAACTATAGTTTCTTAAGCTAGCTGAAGTGTTTGTACCCAGTTATCATTCTTACTGACCAATGTGAAAGCACTAGTCATCATTTTAAGCATTTCCTAATGAAAAGAAGGTAAGAGAAAATAGTGGACATCAGCCCAATAAATGGAACACAACAATGACAGACCGCTAGCTTGCGATATTCATTTTAGAGGGTTCTATGACATACTCCCTTCGTCCCATAATATAAGAATGTTTTTGACACTAGTGAATAATATAAGAACGTTTTTGACACTACACTAGTGTCAAAAACATTCTTATATTATGGGACGGAGGGAGTAGTTGGTATGTTGTGAATATTACCTTGAACAGAAGCAACTACTGGCACTGGCAAAGCAGTTGAAAAAATGAACGAACGACCTCGCGACTGAATTAAACTCTTCCATCGGGTGCTGCTCAACACATTGCAATTTTTTAGTTATTAGCCAGTAAACTATCAAGATATCATAGTAAGTCCAAAGTGTAGGGAAGCCATGCAGTGTGGAGTGCTGATATTCCAGAGTCAAGTGTCCAGTACCATAAATATACAGTGTTGCAAATGTGCATAACATCCTATTCATTGAATTATAAGCATGGGGCACTGTGGTGCAAATTTGCCAAAGCTAATTTATATGATATGATCCAGAACCTTGAAAATCACTTTATGTGATCTCGTTTTTTTTTTACTAAAATCAGTGCCGCAATGTACAAAAGTGTGTGCATTCATACGACAACCTGATATAAGTGTCTGTTTACCTGCATGCCACAAACCCACCCTGGCAGCCAGCAGCCTTGCTCAAGGTGCCAACACTTATGTCAATTCCACTCTCACATTCAAGCAGCTCGGGTACACCACCACCATTATCACCACAAACAAGTGTTCCATGGGCCTGTCCAAGGAAAATCGCAACAAAATCGATCACTAAGAAATTCTGCAAAACTGTATCTGAGGGGAGATAAAATTACTAACATCATCGATGACCAATAAAAATCCATACTTCCTGCGTAGTTCCACAAGTTCAGGTAATGGAGCAAAATCACCATCCATGCTAAACAAGCTGCATTGTATCAATAAAAGAGTATCTGAATTTGGTGCTCTGACAATATGCATACACAAGCATGCCTCTACTTATACTTCACACAAACATAAATATACTTTTTAAGTGAGGAAATTAAATTTGAGAAAAAACTTGCCTATCTGTGACAACAACTTTCTTTTTTATTGAGCAACTGGACCTGCACGGATAATGGTATTGTATTGTAGCTATCTCAGTTCATGATTACATATGGCATATTATGCAATAATGATATTATGACTGAAAAGTGAAAAAACATACAGGAGGAAATCAAGATGGGACATGTCACAGTGCTTGTAGACAAACACTACAGCTTCTTGCTGCCGCTCAATAAGGCGAATCCCATCGATGATTGAAGCATGATTCAGGGCATCTGAAAAAATAGCAATTCTCTCGTCCTTTGCAGGTTTTCTGCCAACCGCCAAAAGAGAGCTGATACTTCCCAGAGCAGTCATCACAGCCATATTGGCAGAAAATCCGGTGGGGCAGAGAAGGCAATCCTGTAGAAAAACTCTAAAGTGAGGATGCAAAACTTGTGAAATAATGACTACTTGAACTAAAAAAATACGACGCTGGACCTCTTTTTTCTTCAACTCTGCCAATGATTCCTCCACCAATTTGTGATAAGTAGTATACCCACATATCAATGCGGAGCCTCTAGGGCCCATGCCATACTCTTGAGCTGCCTAGCAAACGCACCCAATCGTTAGCTCAAGCAGAGACTCGTCGATTCAGAGTACTCTACAGTCCTAACAATCGCCACGATTGCAGAACTTGCACACCTTTGCTGCGGCCTCACGGACTGCCGGATGTGAGCTGAGTCCCATGTAGTCATTCCCGGAGAAAAGAATGAGCTTCTCACCCAGCTCCTCTTCCTGGCCACTGGCCTCGCCACCTAAACCAAACGTGCCCATGAACAAGCCATGTAGTGAGCACTAGCAGTAAATCTTGAAAGTGCAATATAACCAGAAACTATAAATAAATAAACACAAATAAACTCTGGAGCGTTGTTCTTTCTTTTTGCAAACCATATCCTAACAGCTAACAGGGACACAGTCACACAGCAAGGCATCAAGTATATATTAATAACACCCAAAAATAGTAAGCGGAATTGTCTAGGGCGTTATAGCGAGCAAGGGAGGTATATTGACACTGCCTGCTGCAGACCTTCGGCGAGCCACTGGTGGAGGGTGGCGCGGTCGAGGCGGATCTCGACGGCGGCGCGGTCCCACGGGCCGGGGCCTGGGAAGGTCTCCGGCGGCGCGGGCGGCAGCGCCAGGGAGATGGGGCGCGTGGCGCGCAGGAGGCTCCTGGACGCCAGCTCGCCGAGCGCGGCGTCCACGAGCGCGTCCCATTGCGCCATTCCGTCGAACAGGCGGCCGCCGCTCCCTCCTCGCTGGTGGTGGGACGGAGAGGACGAG